CTGTGGTTCCACCTCAGGAACTGGAAGGACCACCGACTGTGGTTCCACCTCAGGAACTGGAGAGACCACCGGCTGTGGTTCCATCTCAGGAACAGGGGAAACCACCCATGGATGCACATGTTCAGTCTCTGAGGTGGCTTGAAGCGTCTGTAGAGGGCTCTTGGCGGTTTGTGGCCCCTGCTGAGAGGCTCTTGGAGGCACATTTTCACCAACACCAAATTCTGAAGCCCTCTTAAGTTTAAGCTCAGGGGTCTCTGGACGGCACAGGGCAGGCTCAGGGGTCTCTGGACGGCACAGGGCAGGCTCAGGGGTCTCTGGACGGCACAGGGCAGGCTCAGGGGTCTCTGGACGGCACAGAGCAGACTCAGGGGTTTCTAGATGGCACAGAGCTGACTCAGGGGTCTCTAGACGGCACAGAGCTGACCCAGGGGTCTCTAGACGGCACAGAGCTGATTTAAGGCGACGCCGTTTCTTACGCCGAGGGGTCTTTGGAGCTAAACTAACAGGATTACCGGCTGATTCTGGCAAAAGGCTAACTAGTTGAAAGATTAGAGTTCCTGAATGGATTACTGGTTCAGTGGCTAGAGAATCAGGCATGGGAACAGGTTCAAGTCTAACTGGGTTATTTTCTGGTTCTGGAGCTGGATCTGGCTGGCGTGGAGCTGAATGTGGTGACATGAAGGGGAAGATATCCTCTCTATCCCCATAAAAATAAGTCCAAAGATCAGACTCATGGATGTGGGGAGCTCTAACTGTTTGATGTGTAACTGGTGGGCCTGTCTTGAGTCCTTTAACGGATGGAGCTAGATGAAGGTCAAGAACATGAGAGCAGAAACTAACCTGGCGCGGAAAGGAACTGGAATCCTGAATCTGAGGCTGTACGGCTCTGGGTCTAGTTTGCAGTTCTATATCTATCCCAACTGCTAGCTCTATGAGGTCCTCAAGGTTAGCTGGCTCATCGTAAAAGGTTAGCTCGTTTCTGACAGGTTCATTTAGAGCTTGGAGAAACGCCGTCTTAAGTGCAGACTCGTTCCACCCGGAAACGGCTGCTTTTCCCTGGAACTTGGAAGAAAACTTTGCAACGGATCTATTTGCCTGTTTAGATTCAAATAGTCCGCTTGAAACACAGGATTTAATTGTGACCTGATTGAAGGTCCTTTCAAACTCCTGGATGAATTTCTCATATGTACAGTTTATTCTAATTTTAGGCGGAAATCTGGTCTCCGCCCATTCAAGGGCTTCACCGGACAGAAAAGAAACGACAAAAGCTATCCTATCTTCATCATAAAGAAAACTAGAATCATAAAAACCAAAAAAACAACTGACACTGAAATAGAAATCTCCTGAGCTTACTTGGATTGCCGGAAAATCTCTCAGGCAGAGAAGGGCTGAGTGCAGAAAACGACAGGCTGGGTTCTGACCAGAAAGGAGGATTATTATCATGACTGGGAAGTGACGTCATTGCCGGTGACCTAGGAGACGGAAGTGAATTCGGAGCAGGACGTGTCGCTGACGTGGCGTTAGCATTATCCAAGTAGCTAGCGAGTATTTGATTCTGCTGTAACTCACGGAGGGTTTGTGTATGTCCATGGATCTGAGCATCCCGTTCCTCAATCCACCGACAGAGGTGATCTGCTGGGCTTTGTGTTTGGCCGCAGTGTTCTGTCATGATGGGTCTCTGAGTTAAGCCCAAAATGCAGAACACACACGGAAAACGGGGTAAAAGTTCAACAGAGTTTATTATGGTTCACAAGCACACGATAAAGAACTTAATCTGGAACAAGTTCAGGGCTGGTTCACTAGAGTCTTGACTGGGACTGGAGACTGTGGGTTAGCAGAGTTTATAAGAAGCTAAGCTTCTAGCTTCAGGCTTAGCATGGCAGACCTTGATCTGAGCTTCCAGCTCACTGCAGAGAACAACAGGGAACATCCACGTAGGATTCTTCAGGCTGAGCTTCCAGCTCACTGCAGAGAACAACAGGGAAAATCCACGTAGGATTCTTCAGGCTGAGCTTCCAGCTCACTGCAGAGAACAACAGGGAAAATCCACATAGGAATCTTCAGGCTGAGCTTCCAGCTCATTGCAGAGAATGACTGGGAATTTCCACATAGGATTCTTCAGGGTGAGCTTCCAGCTCATCGCAGAGAACAACAGGGAATATCCACATAGGAACCTTCAGGTTGGCTCACCAGGGCAGATTAGCAGGTTAAGCTCTCCTAGAGCTTCAGGCTGGAGACAGGTTTCCTGTGATGCAGCTCTTCCAGAGCTACAGGCCAGAGACAGGGTTCCAGTGAGGCAGCTCTTCCTGAGCTTCAGACCAGAGACAGGTTTCCAACTAAGATCAACACTGCAGCGTGGAAGCAAGGCCTGGCAGGAGCTTATAAAGGGGAGGTCTCCTGATGAGTCGATTAACAATAGGTGTGCAGGAAGACTCCAGCCCTAGGAGACCCACGGCGCACTCTGCTGGAGACAGAGGGTAATCTCCAGATCCCAACAGTAACTCCAGCCCTAAGGGGAAATTACAAAGAGCAGAAGAGGATCCTCGGCGCCCTCTGGTGGGCAAGCCTGAGGATCCCAACATAAAGAGGCGATCCTGGCCCCAAATATCCAATTGCACCCCAGATCACTGTGACACAAGGTGGGCAGACATAGAGATGGCCACAGCCAGAGGCTAGAGCAGGGAGCTAACCTACCAAAGAGCCCACCCCACACCCAGTCGCCTGTTCCAGGCTACTAATATCCATATTGTTCTCTCATACCAATGGCTGCCAGGAAATCACAACCCAGGAATTCAAACCCTCTAGGCCAAGTATGGCACACCAGCCACCCTTGCTGAGGCACCAGACATCCCCCAGCCTCCCCCTACCCAACTGCAGGCACAGGGAGCATGCAGGGTCAGGACAAGCAGCAAGGCAGACCCGCACCACAAGTTGAGATGCATCTGTGCACAGTGATTGTATCCCACCTGCCGCCAGGCACTTCAGTCAGCCGGCTTCCCCACAAGGATCAGTCCAAACCATTCAATGTCCCAGACTCCCACCTAATGCCAGGGACTTGCAGTGGACAGCACCATAGAAAGGGAATAAACAACTACATAACCCAAGGAGAGTTAAAAACCCCGACCAAGCCATAATTACTCCATCCCCAGTAAGAGCAGAGAGAGAGCTGCCGGCCCCCCTCCCGCTCTGATGCACTGTTGTTGCCTTTTAACTACTATATATATATATATATATATATATATATATATATTAAAAACATATAACTATAAAAAATATAACCGCGGATGCCTGGGGGACAGTGATTCGCCTACGTTATGAATGCTGGCGCACCATAAAGAATAAATTATGAATAGTTCAGTTTGTGCCTTCAAGTCGATCGCCCATAGGAAGACGTTAGTTGGATATAACAAAATGGAATATCTTCAGAACAGCAGCTCCAAATGACACAAAACTTATATGGGTGAGTAAAACATGATGTAATAATGTAAAATGAAGGGCCAAATGTAAAAAAAACGTGTTCCCCTTTAAGATTCATGAACAGAGCAAACAGCATGGTGAGGTCCAACCCCACCCAAAGACAACCTTATCCTTATAGTAAAAATGCTGAGCTGCTTTTGTTTCGGCTGAACATTGGATAATTCTTAACCACAGTCCAGTTACACCATATTAATGCAACATCCCAAAAAAACTTAGGCTGGGCCTTCACACTTCTGAGTTAAAACTGGAACTACCAGGATTTTTCTGCCTACCTTGAACTACCAGAGAGGGGTCAATTGACCCGGAAAAATTCACTAAAAACTATACTAAAAGCTTGCCTTAGGGTTCCCTTCCCCACACAGGCTCAAGCGACTCTGTGACAGCTATGAGCTGCTAACAGCCACATTTCCACAACAAAAGGAGTGTCCGCAGGAGGTCCAAAGGTCAAATGACCCTCTTGTAGGGCTTTTAGGTAAAAAAGAACAATTGACCCCTCCGTAGTAGTTCTAGTGATGGTTGGTCGGGGCTGCTTTCCGCGACGGGGAGATATGTTTGTAGGTTCTTATGCCAATCTCCGGGAGTGGTGAGTTCTATCCATGGTGGCCTGTTGTCCCTTTTGG